TTCTTTAGGTTTAGGGTTTCTTTAGAGTGCCATTTAGGGTTTAACTTAAGGGTTTCTTATCAGGATTTCTTATCAGGATTTCCAAACGTTCATGTGGGTTTTGGGGCTTCTTTAGGGTACCATTTAGGGTCTCATTTAAGGTTTCTTTAGGGTTTCATGTAGGGTTTATTTAGAGTTTCATTTAGGGTTTCATTTAGGCTTTCATTTAGGGTTTCATTTAGGGTTTCATGTAGGGTTTCATTTAGGGTTTCATTTAGGGTTTCATTTAGGGTTTCATTGGGATTTCATTTAGGGTTTCATGTAGGGTTTCATGTAGGGTGTCTTTAGGGATTCTTTAGGTTTCATTTAGGCTTTCATTTAAGGTTTCTTTAGGTTTAGGGTTTCTTTAGAGTGCCATTTAGGGTTTCACTTAAGGGTTTCTTATCAGGATTTCTTATCAGGATTTCCAAACGTTCATGTGGGTTTCTTCGGGGCTTCTTTAGGGTACCATTTAGGGTTTCATTTAAAGTTTCTTTAGGGTTTCATGTAGGGTTTATTTAGAGTTTCATTTAGGGTTTCATTTCGGGTTTCATTTAGGGTTTCATTTGGAGTTTCATCTAAGGAGTTCTTATCAGGATTTCCAAACGTTCATGTGGGTTTCTTTGGGGTTTCTTTAGGGTTTCATTTAGGGTTTCATTTAGGTTTTCATTTCGGGTTTCTGTAGGGTTTCAAATGCGTTCATGTAGGGTGTCATTTATAGATTTATAAGGTTTCATTTAGGGTTTCTTTAGGGTTTCATTTAGGTTTCATTTAAGGTGTCATTTAGGGTGTCTTTAGGGTTTCATGTAGGCTTTCTTATTAGGATATCTTTTCAGGATTTCTTATCAGGATTTCCAAACGTTCATGTGGGTCTCTTTAAGGTTTCTTTAGGGTTTCTTTAGGTTTTCATTGGGGCCTTCTTTAGGGTTCATTTGGTTTTTTTTACGGTTTCATTTAGGGTTTCTTTGGTGTTTCATTTAGGGTTTCGTTTCCGGGTTCTTCAGGGTTTCAGTTTGGGTTTCATTCAGGGTTTTTTAGATTGTCGTTTAGTGTTTCTTTAGGATTCCATTTAGGATTTCATTCAAAGTTTCTTAGGGTTTCATTTATGGTTCCTTTAGGGTTTCATTTATGGTTTCTTTAAGGTTCATTTAGGATTTCATGTAGAGGTTTCATAATCAGGAGTTCTTATTAGGATTTCTTTAGGGTTTCTTTGGGTTTCACCTAGGGCCTTTAGGGTTTCATTTAGGATACAAACAGGAGAGAATAAAGCAAAAGAAAAGAAAAAACAAAGAGGCAGGAAAGACAGGAAACAGAGAAGCAGAGGAGCCGGAAGTAGAGCAGCAAAACACATGACTGAAGAAAAGAAAAAGTAGAATAGTAGCAGTAGAAGTAGAAAGGCACAGAAGCAGAAAAGAAGAGGAAGCAGGGAAAGCAGAGAAGCAGAAAAGAAAAGAAACAGGTAAAGCAGAGAAGCAGGGAAGCATGAAAAGCAGAGAAGCAGGAAAAAACAAAAAGCAGGAAAAACAAAAAGCAGAAAAGCAGAGAAGCAGAAAAGCAGAGAAGCAGAAAAGCAGAGAAGCAGAAAAGCAGAGAAGTAGACAAGCAGAGAAGCAGGAAAAGCAGAAAAGCACAAAAGCAGAGAAGCAAAGAAGCAGAAAAGCAGAGAAGCAAAGAAGCAGAAGCAGGAAAGTATAGAACCAGGAACCCAAAATGAAATCCAAAACCTGCCGCCAAAAAATTAGAAAAATAAATAGCCCTCCAAAGTACATGCCCATCCTGAAGCTTCCTGGGTTAGATAGAATATTGGAATCAGACCATCCCCAATAGGAAAATAATCGAAATGTTGGAAAGTTTGGATATCCTACTGTCTACTCTTATATACATTATACATCGCTTTACATTGTATATAGTGTTAAGTTCATATGAAGAAGCAGCCGGGATTATAATCAACACCCACATGCCATTTTTTGGCAATACTACTTTGGGCTGGTCCGTCCCTATTATAAACACGTGCGACCCCCTATTAAACAACACCCTGCTCAGAAATCCTAATTCTGTGATGGCAGGATATAATCATTCTTTTATAGTTTTAATTGCCTTGTAAAGGTTGAAAAAGTAGTGTTTTGAAGGGATGCCCCATGCCCAATCTCACCATCTCGCCCCATTGGGAGGGAGGTTGCCAGTGAAAAGAGAAATCTCGACCCATTGCAGGCAGGCTGATTGTTGTGTATTTCTGACAAGCCCTGGTTTTTTAAATTGGGTGGATTCTTACAATCTAGGAGGGTTATTAATACCAACTTGGACTTTCACATAAACACATATAGATAAACATGTATATAAATATATATATATATATGTGAAAAAGTCATAGAAATACAGGCATATACAAATATACATATATTTACATATATTTACATAAATATACATATATTTACATATACGTATATATATATGTATATATATATACATATGTATATATAAATATAAATGTATATAAATATATATGTATACATATATAGATAAATACATATATATATACATATGTATATATAAATATGTATATACAAAAATAAATACATATATACACATATATATAAACATACATATTTACATATTTACAGATATTCATATATACACATATTCATATATACACATACACACATACACACATACACACATACAGACATACAGACATACATACACACATACACACACACATCCATCCATCCATCCACCCACCCACCAACCCACTAACCCACCCACCCACCCACCCAGCCATCCATCCATCCATCCACCCATCATCTCTCCATCCATCCATTCATCCATCCATCCATCCACCCATCCATCCATGCATGCATACATACATACATGCACACACATACAACATACATACATACATACATACATACATACAGACAGACAGACAGACAGACAGACATACATTACTTACATTACTTGCATTACTTACATACATACATACATACATACATAACATACATAACATACATAACATACATAACATACATAACATACATAACATACATAACATACATAACATACATAACATACATAACATACATAACATTCATAACATACATAACATACATAACATACATAACATACATAACATACATAACATACATAACATACATAACATACATACATACATACATACATACATACATAACATACATAACATACATAACATACATAACATACATAACATACATAACATACATAACATACATAACATACATAACATACATAACATACATTACATACATACATACATACATACATACATACATACTTACCTTACCTTACCTTACCTTACATTACATTACATTACATTAATACATACAACACATACAAAACATACATTACATACAACCTACATTGCATACATTACGTGCGTTACATACATTACGTACATTACATACATTACATTTATTACATACATGGCATACCTTACATTGACTACGTACATTACGTACGTTACGTACGTTACATACGTTGTATACATTACATGACATTAAATTACATACGTTAAATACATTACACACATTACATTACATTATATACATTACATTACATTACACTTTGCTACGCTACACTACACTACACTACATAATTGGATGGTACCCGAGAAATCCTGAGTCCGAGGTGCTAATGTGCAGTTTGAGTCCACGAGAGTTCATCCAAAAGAATGGGGACTGTGGCAACTGGTACGCCGCGAGCGATTTTCCTGGAAGGGTGAAAAACGTTTAATAAAAATAAGCGTCGGTAGTATCCCCAACAGCCGCAAAGTTTTATTTTTACAAATCTTTCTGAAGCGTGCTGCGAAGCCAAGTGCAGGAAACCCTGTTGAACCTGTTGAACCTGACCTGACCCCGCACCAAAGATTCCCAAAACCTTCTCCGGGACCTTCTCTGCAACCTTCTCCGGAACCCATTGAACCTGACTTTGCTTTGCACCAAGGCTTCCTGGAACCTTCTCCGGAACCTTCTCCGGAACCCTGTTGAACCTGACCTGGCTCTGCACCAAAGCCTCCCAGACCTTCTCCGGAACCTTCTCCGGAACCCTGTTGAACCTGACCTGGCTCTGGCTCTGCACCAAAGCCTCCCGGCCTTCTCCGTAACCTTCTCCGGAAACCATTGAACTTGACTTGGCTTTCCACCAATGCTTCCTGGAATCCTGGAACCTTCTCCGGAACCTTTTCCCGAAACGTGTTGAACCTGACCTGGCTCTACACCAAAGCTCCCAGACCTTCTCTGGAATCTGCCCTGACTCTGCACCAAAGCCTCCCAAACCTTCTCCGGAACCTTCTCCGGAACCCTGTTGAAACTGACCTGGCTCTGGCTCTGCACCAAAGCCTCCCGGCCTTCTCCGTAACCTTCTCCGGAAACCATTGAACTTGACTTGGCTTTCCACCAATGCTTCCTGGAATCCTGGAACCTTCTCCGGAACCTTTTCCGGAAACGTGTTGAACCTGACCTGGCTCTACACCAAAGCTCCCAGACCTTCTCTGGAATCTGCCCTGACTCTGCACCAAAGCCTCCCAGACCTTCTCCGGAACCTTCTCCGGATCCCTGTTGAACCTGACCTGGCTCTGCGCCAAAGCGTCCGGGAACCTTCTCCGCAAACTTCTCCCTTCTCCGGAACCTTCTCCCTGTTGAACCTAACCAAGCCTCCCACACCTTCTCCGGAAGCCTGTTGCACCTGACTTGGCACCTTCTCCGAAACCCTGTTGAACCTCACCTGGCTCTGGCTCTGCACCAAAGCCTCCCGGCCTTCTCCGTAACCTTCTCCGGAAACCATTGAACTTGACTTGGCTTTGCACCAATGCTTCCTGGAATCCTGGAACCTTCTCCGGAACCTTTTCCCGAACCCTGTTGAACCTGACCTGGCTCTACACCAAAGCTCCCAGACCTTCTCTGGAATCTGCCCTGACTCTGCACCAAAGCCTCCCAAACCTTCTCCGGAACCTTCTCCGGATCCCTGTTGAACCTGACCTGGCTCTGCGCCAAAGCGTCCGGGAACCTTCTCCGCAAACTTCTCCCTTCTCCGGAACCTTCTCCCTGTTGAACTTAACTCAGCCTTGCACACCTTCTCCGGAAGCCTGTTGCACCTGACTTGGCTCACCAAAGCCTCTCAGACCTTCTCCGGAACCTTCTCCGAAACCCTGTTGAACCTCACCTGGCTCTGCACCAAAGCCTCCCGGCTTTCTCCGTAACCTTCTCCGGAACCCATTGAACCTGACTTGGCTTTGCACCAAGGCTTCCTGGAACCGTTTCCGGAACCTTCTCCCGAACCCTGTTGAACTTGACCTGGCTCGGCACCAAAGCCTCCCAGACCTTCTCCGAACCTGACCTGGCTGCGTCAAAGCCTCCCAGACCTTCTCCGGAACCCTCTCCGGAACCTTCTCCGGAACCTGCTCCGCCTTCTCTGGAACATTCTCCGGAACCCTGTTAAACTTGACCGGGCTCTACACCAAAGCTCCCAGACCTTCTCTGGAATCTTCCCTGACTCTGCAAAGCCTTCCAGACCTTCTCTGGAACCGTCTTCGGAACCCTATTGAACCTGACCTGGCTCTGCACCATTCAAAGCCTCCCGGAATCTTCTCCGCAACCTTCTTCGGAACCCCCTCCCAGACCTTCTCCGGAACCTTCTCCGGAACCCTGTTGAACCTGACGCGGTGCCTGCACCAGTGCACACCGGAGCTATTCTGGGCTGAAGACCCCATTAGCTCACGCTGTTGGGGAACAAAATAAAATAAAAACCACATATTTTTGGGGACCTGGTGGCGTTACACTCTCGGTTGAAAAGGGCTTGAAATGGATTGAGCATGGATTGACACAGATCGAAATGGATTGAAGTGGATAAAATGCTCTTAATTCGCGCGTTTAAATGAGTTGCTGTAAACTACCGTGGTTTAGCAAAAAAACGCAACTGTAGAATGTGCCAGATTTACAGCCAAAGGATTCAACCACCAATAGTTCATAACAGACAATCAATGATGAACAATCATCTACCAGCAAGCAACAACGTCAAAGAACCAATCATCATCAGATAATCATCAGGAATCACCTAAAATCAATGGCAATCACAAAAATCAAAACACTCGTGCCTGTCACGAAGGAACTTCGCCGCAAATGCTCTGCCCCTCCGTAGTTTGCGAAGCCTGTGGTGGATATGAGGCTGCGCTTGGCCATGGCCATGGCTGGTCGAAGGCCCGAGTTGTGCTTGGCCAAAAAGGCTGGTGATACCCGAGATTCAGCAGCTTCCACAGTCCCTGGAAGCTTCATCCTTTACGTCCCTCAAGATAAGATTGAAGCGTGAGGAATGGTGTCAGTGCAAAGTGTGCACAGAAACAACGCGAAAACAAAGGATGATCCTGTGTTTGCTGTGCCATGTTGTATCCGCCTACCACAATCTGATGTAATCTGCAGGACGCTCCATGTGCCACGCCGCCAGAATTGTGTTCACTTTTCAAAGGTTCAGATTCCCAGTCCAGCTTTGCTGACGAGTGGCCAAGCGGAACCAGAACTTCGGAGTCATCTTGTACAATCCAAGTGATAAATCTGCTGGTTCCACTGACGAAAATCTGGGCTACAGCCGATATTACCTGGAGTTTTACCAAGTAAAATGACACTAGAAACAACCAGAATCTCCTTTTGACACTGAATTGCTTCCTAAGTCAGGTCGCGGGTGATGGAAAACTGGCCTCAACTTCCGGGCGACCAGGTGGTTCCAATGTGGTATGTAAACCAAGCAGTCAATGCAACAGGACATGGGTGACAACTACTGCTTTGTCATGGTGTCATTGGGAGCTAAAATTGTGATCATGTCATATCTTATTCTGTTAATGTAGGTCCCTATCTTTGTATTAGTTGAGGTTAGTCCAGAATGTGCAACATTGTTCAAAATAGTGGTCTGGGTATATACATATACAATATATATATATGTGTATATATATATGTATATGTGTGTATATATATATATATATATTGCCAGAAAATACGCCCAGATATTATACGGCCAATTGTGTTGCATCAATTTACATCGCAAATCTCCGCTATTGGAAATTGCAAATCGGCTCTAGTAAATATATTAAGAACATGTAGCTTAAAGTTAGTTTAGCTGTGTTTAGACATAATTGAAAACGTGGACATTGGGGAGAGTTTGAGAATTTCGCTATGTATGTTGTGTTCAAAGATCCAGGTGTAGAAGTATGATGTCGTAATGATACCATCCAAATAATTACAAAACAGAGAATATGTGTCGTGACAACAAATATACGTCATTATTTTGATATCAAATACATAATACATGTGTATATATATATATATCGGCCGACCCCAGCCATCTGCAGGCGGAGCGCGCCCGAGAAAAAGTGCAGTTAAGGCCTAGTGGCTTCAGAAAGCTATGTTGACACCTGCTTCAGAAAGCAGCGCAATACTTTGGCCATCTGCCGGGCACTTTCCAACCTTTTGCAGCCCGGCGCAATTCTTTGGCCATCTGCCAGGCACTGTCCAAGAGCCCGCCCAGCGCCATACTGTTGCCATTTGCCGGACGCTTTCAAACAAGTTTTCTATAGAGCGGCTTCAGAAAGCAACGTTAAGCAGTAGCCTGCCTGTGAACCCTTTCCGGCGCCCTTCCCGGCGCCTTTTGCAGCCTGCCGCTTTCCTAGAGATTTTCTAGTGGCTTCAGAAAGCAGCGTTAGGCACTAGCCTGCCTTTAAACCCTTCCCAGCGCCCTTCCCAGCGCTCTGCCAGCATTTTGGTAGATAGCAGCCCCCCCAGCGCCATACTTTTGCCATCTGCTCGGCGCTTTCCCAGAAATTTTCTGGTGGCTCAGAAAGCAACGTCAGGCACTAGCCTGCCTTTAAACCCTTCCTGGCGCCCTTCCCAGCGCCCGTGCCAGCATTTTGGTAGATAACAGCCCGCCCAGCGCCATGCTTTTGCCATCTGCTGGGCGATTTCAAAGAACTTTTCTCATGGATTCAGAAAGCAACGCCAGGCAGCAGCCTCCCTTTAAACCCTTCCCGGCACCCTTGCCGGCACCTTCTGCAGCCTTCGGGCTGCGCAGCACAAGACCGTGGCCAATACTTTGGCCCTCTGCCGGCCGCTTCGCTAGAGATTTTCTAGTGGCTTCAGAAAGCAGCGTTAGGCACTAGCCTGCCTTTAAACCCTTCCCATCGCCCTTCCCAGCACTCTGCCAGCATTTTGGTAGATAGCAGCCGGCCCAGCGCCATACTTTTGCCATCTGCTCGCCGCTTTCCCACAAATTTTCTAGCGGCTCAGAAAGCAACCTCAGGCACTAGCCTGCCTTTAAACCCTTCCTGGCGCCCTTCCCAGCGCCATTGCCAGCATTTTGGTAGATAGCAGCCCGCCCAGCGCCATACTTTTGCCATCTGCTGGGCGCTTTCAAAGACGTTTTCTAGTGGCTTCAGAGGCAGTAGCCTGCCTTTAAAGTCTTCCCGGCGCCCTTCCCAGCGCCCTTCCCAGCGCCCTTCCCAGCGCCCTTCCCAGCGCCCTTCCCAGCATAGCATTTTGGTAGATAGCAGCCTGCCCACCGCCATACTTTTGCCATCTGCTACGCGGTTTCAAAGAGATTTTCGCATGGATTCTCATGGCTTCAGAAAGCAACGTTAGGCACTAGCCTAGTAGCCTGCCTTTAACCTTTCCCGGCGCCCTTAGCTTCCCATGCAGCGCTGCCAGCACTTTGGTAGATAGCAGCCCGCCCAGCGCTATACTTTTGCCATCTGCTGGGCGCTTTCAACGACGTTTTCTAATGGCTGCAAGGCCGGATCTGGTTTTCCCGCATCATGAAAATGAAATCGCACAAAGTCCATATCTCAGAGGAGCTGTCTGAGCTTTCGAGAATGTGCTGAATGGATGTCGGATGTGTGTCGGATCAGATCGCGGATGTAGCTTTGAGGCGAAGCAGCCAATGACCAGCCCTATGTCAAAACGTGGATGCATTGTGCGGCTGTGTTGGGAGCCAGAGCGCATGTGAACGGCTGCACCCGGGTGCACCAAGACTTTGCTGGGACTGTTCACACCTGCACATTTACTTTGCAGATAATCCATGGGCTTGCAAGTGTGAACAGTCCTGGTGACAAGTACGGTAGCCCGCCCAATGCCATCTGCTCGGCGGTTTCAAAGAAATTTTCGCATGGCTTCTCATGGCGTCAGACAGCAACGTTAGGCAGTAGCCTAGCAGCCTGCCTTTAAACCCTTCCCGGCGCCCTTGCCGGCGCCTTTTGCAGCTTTCCAGCTGCCCAGCGCAATACTTTGGCCATCTGCCGGGCGCTTTCCCAGAGATTTTCTGGTGGCTTCAGAAAGCACTGGCCAGTTGTGACCATGGTTGTACTGCATCATCACCAAATTGGCTTCTGCCGACACGTTCACAATTTCGGCTGGAGATGGTCTCCATTGGGCATTCCCTTGTGGGGGCACACAAATCCAGTTGACAGCATCACCATCTACATTGATCGGTGGGCCCCAGAACCGCTGCCACGGGGACACCACCCACCCCACCCACCACGCCGGCACCTCCTGGCGCCACTGGTCCAGCCAAAGCTGCCTGGACTGACACCAAAGGGCCACCAACACCAGGCACATTCAACGTTAGGCACTAACCTGCCTTTAAACCCTTCCCGCGCTCTGCCAGCGCAATACTTTTGCCATCTGCTCGGCGTTTTCCCAGAAATTTTCTAGTGGCTTCAGAGAGCAACGTTAGGCACCAGCCTGCCTTTCAACCCTTGCCGACGCCCATCCCAGCGCTTTAACAACATTTTGGTCGATAGCAGCCCCCCCAGCGCCATACTTTTGCCATCTGCTCGGCGCTTTCCCAGAGATTTTCTAGTGGCTCAGAAAACAACGTTAGGCACTAGCCTGCCTTTAAACCCTTCCCGGCGCCCTTCCCAGCGCCCTTGCCAGCATTTTGGTAGATATAGCAGTCCGCCCAGCGCCATACT